CAAAATATATAAAGAACTTCTACAGCTCAATAGCCAAATAAATAAATAAATAAATAAATAAATAAATAAATAAATAACAGAACATCTCAATAGAATTTTTCCAAAGAAGACATATGGACAAGCACATGAAAGGATGCTCGACATCACTCATCATCTGGAAAATGCGAATCTAAACCACAGTGAAAGATCACTTCATACCTGCTAGAGTGGCTATTAAAACACAACAAGAGAGAACAAATACTGGCAAAGATGTGGAGAAAATGGAACCCTCCCGCACTGCTGGTGGGAATATGAACTGGTGCAGCCACCATGGAAAACAGTCTGGAACTTCCTCAAAAATTAAAAATAGAACTATCATAGGATCCAACAATTCCACTGCTGGGTATTTACACAAAAGGAATGAAAAAAACTTAAAAAATATATGCACTCTGTGTTCATTGCAGCAATATTTACAGTAGCCATTCTAGTAACTAAGTGTACTGCAGCAGATGAATGGATAAAGAAATTGTGGCACATATGATAGGGGCAGATACAGAATGTTGGGGAACCAGCTGAAATTGTAAGAAATATTAATCATGCTCTGTGAACCGTGATGGATTTGTTCTGATTAAAGAAGGCGCACTCTAAGCTGGCTGGCAGTTACACACAGGACCTGGGAGCTCACCTGGAAATGCAGCCCATCCTCCCCATTTCGAGCTGCCTATTATCAGGGAAAGGTTAGCAACCTGTTGAGCCAGAATCCAGAGCTGCCAGACTTTTGAAGACCCCAGCCCTTGCATATCACTAAGCCCCCTGAAGACCCCAGCCCTTTTGCATATCTGTAGACTGCACATTTGCCCCTTTGCCTATTCCCCCACGTAATCCTTGTCCTTCTACCTCATATAAGCAGCTGGCTTATGGGAGGCAGAGCAGATGTTTGTGAATGAGCTGCTGCTCTCCCACACAGCCGGCAGGATTGGAATAAACGCTCATACAGGATTCGACCCTGTCTCTGCTGAATTGGCTCAAGTAGTGACAGGCAGCATGGACCCATTGACTGTCCGGTTACACATACAGTGGGGCCTTGACTTACGATGTATATACCATGAAATATTAGTTATCCATTAAAAAGAATGAGATATTGTCATTTGCAACAACATGGATGGACCTTGAGGGCATCATGCTAAGTGAAAGAAGTCAGACAGCTTCCTGATAGTAGAGGCAGGCAGTTTGTCTGAGTCTCTGCTCTTATTCATGTGTAGTATCGCATATTTTGTCTGCCTTTTTGAGAGGATTATATTTGTCAGTAAGAAATCTCAGTGGGCTCTTTTTGCCAGGGCTGTTGCACAGCCTCCTGGCTGGTCGCCCGCCTCCTCTCCCAGCCCTGTCCCAGCAGACTGGCCTGGAGACCTCCATCTCAGACTAGTCAGATGGCATCACTCCCAGCATGCATCTCCCAGGCTCCCATCACACTCCAAATGGCATCCCTTCTCCTTCCTCAGACTTGCAGGCTTCCTGCCTGTGTTTTCACATTCCTTTCCTCCTATCCTCCTGCTCACTCCCTACCCCGCCTCAGCAGGCCTTGCTGCTCTTTGAACTTACCCGGCTCGGGCTCTTTGCACTTGCTCTCTCCTTTGCCTAGAATGGGCTCCCCCAGATCGTCACCTGGCTAGCTCCTTGTTTCACTTTTTCTGCTCAGAAGGCATCTTCTCAGGGAAGCCTTCCCAGGACTCCATTTAATTTGTTCAGACCAATCTCCGTATCGCTTCTTTTTTATTGTCTTTTCCTTCACTAAAACTGACAGAAGGGGTGGCCTTGTCGATCTGGTTTACTGCTTCATCACCAGTAGCCAGAACAGGGCCTGACTTATTGTAGGAGTTCAATGCCCTGGAGCCCTCCTGCGGTCCCTCCCTGGCCCCGATCGTGCACCGGTGGGGTCCCTCGGCCTGGCCTGCACCCCCTTGCAATCCAGGACCCCTTGGGGGATGTCGGAGAGCTGGTTTCAGCCAGATCCCCTCAAGCCAGGTTGAGGGATCCCACCGATGCAGGAACTGTGCACTGGGCCTCTAGTATATAATAAAATAGAAGACATTTTCATTAGTATAGTTTATAGATTAACAACAGAATATCACTTATTATGTTTCTGCCTTCTAAAATAGATATTTAGTATTTCTTAAAATGTGGAATTGGTAAGGAAGTTACCCTTAAATTTTGATACTTTAAAAATTTTTCTTAATTGGCCAAGACTTTAGACTTTATCAATTATCAAATACATGCTGAGCACAGAGTATTTGTAAAGTGTTTGCTGCTGGGCTTATCTCATGAATAAGCCAATGACACCTGTGTCCTCATCTTTGTTGGCCCTCCTCTTTCTCTCGAAGGATAAAGCCTATTTTCCCACAAAGGCCAGTTCCAGCCCTGTTTCTGTGACATCAACCCAGAGGCCTCAGGATGCTAATGGCCTCCTCCTTGCTGAGTGGCAGCCTTGTCAATTGCTTTACTCTGGTGGCTGTGTGTGCAGGGCTACCCACACCGTCTGCTGGCCCACCGGCCGATGGGTGCTCGGAGACAAACATGAAGAGCTGCTTCCAGGCCCAGCCTTCCAGGAGTGTGTGGGTCAGCCAGGAAGAGAATACATTGCACAAGTTGTCACTGAAATAAATCTCTTACTTCCCCAGCTTCTCTCTTTTGGTTTATGTAATTTTCCCATCTTTGTGACTGAGGGATGAATAAGAGATGGAAGAGGAAGAGCTGGTGGAAGCAGAACATAGTGACTCTTTGAGGCTGAGGTTGAGGTTTTTGTGGGACAGGCTGGGCTGAGCCATCTGTTTCCTTCTACTGACACGGACTCAGCCAATGAAGACCCTGCATCAAGAGCTCTTTCCGACCTGCCTCCTTTTGGTTCAGGCTCTCATCTAAATAACTGGGCAGCCGCCAGCCCTCACTTTCTCCTTCTCAGTCTGGTCTTCTTACACCTGAACTCGGACTTCTCAGTTCTCCAACAACTATTTCAGTGCCCACGCTGTACTTCCAGCAACATCAGGGATAGGAACAAGTAAAACTCTGTGGTTCCTGCCCTGGTGGAGGTTCCCATGGTGACACCACCCCATTTCTCAAAGGAAGTCTCAAATGCTTCCAGACCCCGGCCCCTCACCTGGCATTCAAGGCCCTCTGAACTCACCTTCCAGGCTTAGCCTGTGCTGCAGCTCCCTCCACACACTCCCGCGCCGCAGGACACCGCTGCCTTCTCGGTCCCTCGTCCTGCTCACACTCCTCCCTGAGCGTGGACATCCTCTGCATCCCTGCCCTCTCTCCCCTCCACCCTCCACCTGTCAACATTCTAAACTGCCCTTTACAGCTTAGCTCAAAGCATGACTCGCATAGGCCCTTCCTGGCCCCTGCCCAGGACGTCTGCTCTGGGAGTTCTCAGGGCCTTTTGTACACTTCTATACCCATCACATTGCAGTGGGTATCAAGTTCAATGTGTGTCGATCTCTGCTATTAAGCGACCAGAGAGAAGGGCCCATGTCTGATCTACGTTGGTGGCTCCACCTCAGCAGCTGCTCACACATAGGCACCTTCAGAAGGTGACCATGTAGTTTGTTATAATTTATTGTCCAAACTAGAACGCTTTTGAGAGTGAAGGTGGTGCCCCTAATTAATTGTGCTGGGCTGCAAGTAAAGCTAAGCATGTCCCTGGCCGCTGGGCTACATGTGGTCTATTTCTGCCAAATGAAGGTTCAGGGATGGTTTCTGAATTACGTGGCCATGCTTACAGTGTAGTCAGCCAGTGGACAGCGTGAAAGGGTGAAGGAGGCCCCTTTCCTAGAGCCGGTATTGCTGGGGTGGTTCGCTGAGCAGGGGGCCCCTGAGGTATGTCTGGGGGGAAGGAGCAGGATTCAGGAAGGTCCAATTAGACAGAGGGAAGAAGGAATGACATCATGGGAGGATAGGATGATGGAGGCAAAGACGGCATCACATTTGGTCTATCAGAGAGAGATTTTATGGCTGAAACTGATGGCTTCTATTGATAAGAAGGAGGCAGCGTGCTGGGGGGTGGAGCGGGAAGAAACAGAGCGCTAGCACCAGCTGTGTGTATAGAGGAGTGTGGTCTTTACCGCAGGAGGTCAGAGCGGCAAGTGCTGTGCATTTCTGAGCAGAGAAAAGACAAAGAAAATGTAGCATTTTAGGGAGATTATTCTTATGGCTATGTGTAGGGAGAGGTGAGGCCGAGGAGAGGGAGGCTACATGGGATCCATGGAAATAACATCAATGTAAGATGACAGGAATTTAAAGGAAATATCGGTAACCAAAATGAGTAAGTCAGAGCTGAAAAGGTAGAATTGACAGCACTTTGTGACCCAGGGGAGCTGGCCTAGTTTTGGGGTAACACTTTGTACCATCTACCTGCTGATACCATAGACGGAGATAAGCAAGCAAGAGGCAGAGCTGATTTGGACGAAGATGATACATTTAGATTTTTACACACTAAGTATGAGGCACCGGTGTGCCATCTGAATGGAAGTGTCCAATAGAGAGTGAGAGAGGAATGCCCAGGGGGCGGGAGGGTCAGGGCCAGGAAGCATCATTTAGAGGAGGAGCCACCCATGGGAGCGAGCAATAGGTGAGCGATAACAAATGACGAGATGTCTTGTGGCCAATCAGGAGGAAAAGCCATTGATTATCAGGGATTGGATCTGGGGGAAACCCCTGCACTTAATGGGGAAGAGAGGGACAAGGAGACCTAGAAGAGAGGGACAAGAGACCAGGATTTGGTGATTGAGATACGGATTAAGATGGAAAATATCTAAGGAAATGAATTTCCCTGGCACGTTCTATTACTAGACACTGAATTTCTGCCCATGTCAAAGGCCTGTTGATGTGATGCATGTCTTTCCCTCCTGAAAGGGGATGAATGGCAGAAAAGCCAACAGCCAGTTAGATTCAGCAACAATAGGAACGGTTCTAATATTAATAAGGCTGTGACTGATGAACAACATACTTAAAGGATAGAAACTAACCTGTAATACCTTTTTTCATCCAGAAAGTAGCAATACTGGCCATAAAAGAAAGAACTTTTCTTGATACAGATTCCATCATAATTATTTATACCTAAAGAATAAAGGTTGTCTTTAAAGATTATGTCAAACCACCGACATGTTTGATAGAACACACAACACAGACTCGGGGTTCTTCCCCAGGCGTTGTCATTGGCTCGGTTTTTGGGGAAAGCTAATGACAGCCTGTCCACTCTGGTAGGCAGACAGTTTCATACCATTTCGAACGCATCAGCTTTGAAGCGGCCCGTGGACGCTCTACCCTGCGGTTCCGACTTAGGGCCTCTGGTCTGAGGGACACACCAGGGAGAGCCTCCGGCTGCTGCCGGCCCTTCACCCCTTTGAAGTGAAGTGAAGCCCACCACGGCGCCCCTCCGCGGCTGGGCCGGTTCTCCGCAGCCCGCGAGGACGCTGCCTCTCTCTGCAGCCCAGGCTGCTCTGCCGAGCCGAGCCTGCAGCCACGCGTCCAGGCTCAGAGCAGCGGAGCACAATCTTCCCAAATGAGCTACTGCTCAGTGTTTGGCAAACTCTCCCACCGTCTCCCACTCCTTCATGGCTGGCAGGCCCCTTCCCTAACTTGGCTTCCATTTCTTCCCACCGATTTCCTGATCTCTACTGATTTTCCTTAATTAAAAAACAACAACCTGTAAAATAATAATAACTGAGTGACAGTTATAACAACATGTGCCATATAACAGTGTAACACCGTAATTCCTTGTGGTGTTAAAAATATAGCGTGGATTCCTAGTTTCCTAAATATAATTCAAGTATGCTAATTAGATGAATACTTGGAAATTTAGCTCAAACAGTAATGAAAACAGCTCTGTTATTCTATGTGTGTAATTATTTAAATATTTCAACAATTGGACATTTACATATCCAAACATTTAAGGTTTAAGACACAAAGATATATTGTGATTTTTGTGTCTGAACAAAATTCCTCAAAAATTGACATTGATATTTGGTTCTAGCATTACCTGTTATTTTAGGCCAGGGGTCCTCAAACTACGGCCCACGGGCCACATGCAAATACAAATATTGTATTTGTTCCCATTTTGTTTCTTTACTTCAAAATAAGATATGTGCAGTGTGCATAGGAATTTGTTCATAGTGTTTTTTTAAACTATAGTCCGGGCCTCCAACGGTCTGAGGGACAGTGAACTGGCCCCCTGTTTAAAAAGTTTGAGGACCCCTGTTAGGCACTAGGGTTTCCATTTGAATTATGGGAACTCTCTGATAAGAGTTGATATTTATAGTTTGTTTAGTTTTACACTATTTTGGTCACTTATTTTGTGATACCCCCCCCCCAATGTTTGTTTTAAACATTTAAAATAAAACAAAATTGAATACCCTACCTGGCACCTCCTCTCGTGCCCAGCCTCTGGGGCCAAGACCAGGAACAACCACGCACAAGAGCTGAAAGAATGAGCCAGATTAAAGTCTTAATTCCAAAATTTGGGAATAAAACTTCCGATTTCTCCTCTTACACTGTTTGAATTATATTTCCTCTTTTCCAATGATAAAGAAAATATATGTAAATAAAATTTGAAAAAAGATGAGAAGTATAAAGAAGAAAACATAACACTTAGAGGAAACTACCATTTAAACCTCGATGCAGTCCCTTCCAGTCTTTTATCAAAATCTCAGTCCATGTACATAGTCTATGGGTGTAACATGAAGTCACTGACATCACACAGTAGCATGTCTGCGGGCTTGCTTTCCACTGTCTTCCCTGCACGTTGAACCATAAACACTTCCCTTCATCATTACGATTTCTCTGAAGCCAGGAATTTTGACAGCTGCATTCTAGTCCATCATGTGAGTGTCCCTCATTTTACTGTTTTCCTCTTTTTCCAATGTGAGCGTCATTTTCACATTTTATTATTCATTTGTTTCTCTAATTTGCTCCTTGCACAGGTTCTGTTAGCAAAAGCAATTATAAGGCTGAAAAGCACAGCTGCTTCTGACTCAACTTCTCATCCCCTGTTATCATTTAATGCACATTGTTAAATAGTACTGATATTATGTTCAGGGTCAATAAACATGAAAAAAAATAGAAGTCTGTTCCATTTTCCTACTGATGAGAGGCCACAGCACGCATGCTGTCCAAGTGCATGTCAGTTGAAAGGGAAAACCCTGGCGCGTGTGACACTGCAAACATAGAGCTTGGAGGCAGAGTGTCCCAACAGTCAAGTAATGATTTCTGCTATTTTCCCACAGTCCGCTCCATAATCACTCAGCCTCCACTTCCGCTTGGTTTCTGCTGCATCCCTCTTCCTGTTTTCCTTAGCTTCTGAGCAGCAGGATTTGACAGGGCCATGAAACACCCCTCCTGTCTGCTACAGGCCCCACGGCTCCCACAGGGAGCCAGTCACACCTGATGTGGGGCGGCAAATGCAGAAACAGCGAAGGCAAGTCTCGCACAATTAAACATCAAGGTCATGAGCCAAATTGACAGCTTTCTTCAGGGAAGGAGAACCAAAATGTACAGAAGAAAAATAAATGATAAGAGAGAAAAGAAAAAGTCAGTGAAGTCTAAATGCAGAATTAAAAGCCAGAAATTCTTCCTTTCAACAACAGATTCTGAAAATTTCATCTCCTCTTAAGAAAATCACTTAAAACCTTCCCTATATTCCTAGGTTTAAAATAGTAGGTATCTAATGGAATTATTATAAAGTATGCAGCAGGCTTAGAGTCAAGGCCCTGGGAAGTAATCTGGTGTTTTTGGAGGGAGAAGCAGAAGTGAATTGTCTAGCTGTCTGGCAGTGTGACAACCTGCACAGCTTCTTTTACTGAGTAATTCCGACCCCAGGGTAGCCTACGATTTCATTTTATGATCAGGTACATCACAGTTAAAAATTTAAAACCAACTGAGATGATTACTCTCCAAAAATGTAATAAGTAAAAAATGTATATATCTAGAGAGAGAGAACTCACATAAATCGATAGGAAAACCACCAATAGAAAGTGGTCTGGTGATATTTTGTATACACACAATACACATGTGACCAAAACACACTTGAAAGTGCTTACCTTCCCTAATCACCCAGTAAATGCAAGTTGAGACAGCTAAATGCAGTTCTTATCCAACAAGTGTTCTAGGTTAATAATATTATGGATTTGGGTAAGAATATCAAGAACTATCATGAGGGGTGTGAATTGGTTTCAATTGTCTAGAGTCTCACCTAGGGCAATGACCAGATGCAGATGAAATTAATGTTACTTATAATAGAGAAAAATTACTAACAACCTAAATTTCCAATAAAGGCAATGGCTAGATGAATATCCAAATAATATTTTTAGCCATTATACAATGTGCATTGAAAAGTATTTTAATGTGAAAGTGTTTATGATAGTCTAGGTGTAAATGAGCATAATAATAAAAGCATAATATGCTAATTAGACTGGATGAAGCCTTGGTGGCGGGGGCTGAGGCAGAGGCAGCCGCCACGGCTGTGGGGGGCGAGCCCCTTGCATGAAATTCGTGAATCAGGCCTCTAGTGTAACTATAAGCGTTAACATTTCTTGGATGCTTCCTATGCACCAAGATTATTCAATTCATTTTATATGTGCTTTCTTATTAATTTCTTAAAAGCATCTCATGATGTAGGTACTGCTAACATTACGAATATTCTCATTATACAGATGACAAAGTTGAGGCACAAAAAATTAAATAACTTGCCCAGGATTAGTCTGATTCTAGGCTTAGTGGTGTCAAAAAGTGTGCCATATTGCACTCTGTCTGTCTGTCTGTCAACCCACCTGTCTCTGCACACCCATTTGTCTGTACATCCATCCATACATCAATCTTTCAATCCACCCATCTCCATAGTATCTCTACAGCAGGATGAGGCATGAAGACAACAGACAGCAAAGTTGACTGAGACACACATGGTGGTGGAGGGGGGGGGCTCCCACCCTCAAGCATTTAGCTAATATTTGGTTTTAAAACTCTGAAAAGGCCTCAACTCAAATCATCCACAAGTAGGAAGAGAGAAGAGGAAGTGTGAGGGTTTTCTTATGGCAAGACCAACCTCTTTCCTTCGAAGAGGGTGTGGGCTGGCCTAGAGCAGGTGATGCACAGATCCACTAGAGGCCTGTTGTGAGGCCTTACAAGTGGTGTCTGGCTGTGGCACAGGAGCCCACGTGGATGAGAGATGGGCTGGCTGGTGGCCTTGGTGGACAAGCAGAGGAGAGTGGCTACTGCTCTGGTTTTAGCCGGCACACCCATAGTCTGCTAAATTTAAGAATGGCTGAGGAGTTTCCCTGACCGGAAGTTGGCCACGAGAGAGAAAGAGCTGACGTGTGGGAGAACCCAGACTCTGCCTAACCAGGGCCCCAGGATGGGCAGTTGGGCTGCAGAAAGAGTCAGTCACCAAGGCAAGGGACGCATAGGAGAACATTACCATGGGCTACTTGGAAGAAGCCGCCAAAGGAACAGGAGACAAGAGTCTGCCTGGCACCCAGAGCAGGAAGCTGTGCAGTAGGAACTTTCCAGCTACTTTTACCTCCCCCTCCTGGGTCTAACCAACCCCCAGTGAGGTGGGGGGAGCAGGGTGAGGAAGGGAAAAAGAAGCTCACAACTCGTTCTCTGCTGGCAAGAAACCATACCGGAGGAGATGGAAAAAGATTCCACCTTAAACCCAGTTCAGAATGTGAAACGACATTCTAAGCAACAGACTGACACTGGTAAATTAGTGACAACAGGCCTTTGTGTCACCAAGGATTTCTGGAGAGGTCATGCTGCTTGCTCAGATGCTTATTCAGGGCAAAGGAAGGACCACTCCCTGAGCAGGTCCAAAGGGACACGGACACAAAGTCACCGTGATTTCTCCCTGGCTCCTGCTGGTCACGTGTGCGCATGTGCACATGTGTGCATGAGCATGCACATGAACCACACACAGGGCTGTATCTCTGGATGTGAGGCCATAGTTGGTATTTATTTTCTTCTTTTTATACACTTTTCTTTAATTCCCACATTTTCTCAAAAGAGAATATATTATTACTCTTATAACCAGAAAAACATGAGTAAATGTTATTTTTAAAAAGGAAGTCAGTGTTATGGAAATCCCCTCATCCATGTAAGATTATCACTTGGACCAGGAATGAGGTTCCCCTTCATATGCCCAGGACAGCCAAAGGGAGAAGCAGCATTTCAACATCTGCACAGGAACTGCTGTGGCATCTGGAATTGACCCCATTCCCAGAGGACGGGGAGGAAGTGAGAATTGGGTATTTTGTTGTTTCTTTTGTAAACATGCTTTGGGACCATATCCTTTCCCTTCTCTGTTTAGTCACAGATTAGGCAGCACAGGGCCCCTTCTCAATCCAGCTCCTCTGGCCTGGCCCATTCTTCAGGCAAATTCCCAATGAGAGCTGCAAGTTGGTGTCTTGGGAATGGACTCTAAGGGAGTATTAAGATGAAAATGTTAATGAAGTGCCCTTTGTCATACACACACTAGAGCAATGATCGGCAAACTCATTAGTCAACAGAGCCAAATATCAACAGTACAACGATTGAAATTTCTTTTGAGAGCCAAATTTTTTAAACTTAAACTATATAGATAGGTACATTGTTATTAACTTAATTAGGGTACTCCTAAGGCTTAGGAAAAGCCACACTCAAGGGGCCAAAGAGCCGCATGTGGCTCGCGAGCTGCAGTTTGCCGACCACTGCTAGAGTCTCTTTTTAACTCTTTATTTGGAATACTCTGCAGTGGGACTGAGACAACATCTAAGAAAATCTAAAACAGATTTTGAAAAACAGTCTTCAGTTTCTTAGAAAAGGCCGAGGGACCCCACCGGTGCATGAATCCATGCACCAGGCCTCTAGTATGCATATAAGATCTTTGGTTAATCTGTTCCTGCCCTCCCCCTTCCCCCTTCCCTCTGAGATTCATCGGTCTGTTCCATGTTTCCATGCCTGTGCATTGAGTATCTGCCCCCTGGTGGTTAGTGTGTGTCATAGCTACTGGTTCAACAGTTGAATGGTCGAATGGTTGCTTAGGCTTTTATGTATATAGATAATTAAGGCTTTCATTTGGGATGAGCATATAGCCACATAGACTGCTGAGTGGAATTAGGTATAAAAACCATTTTCTTTTTAAAGAATGTTTACAACTGACATTTTAAAACATCATTTTGTGTATTTGCTCTCTTGTATCTGAAAAGTCCAGTCTCCCTAGCTCAGGTCCAGCATCTTCCCTTTGATGCACTACACCCTTATAAGGGGAAAGAAATCTTAATTTATCAAGTAGAGTTTCAATGCTTTGTGTCACATGCACTCAAAGATGTTTCTCCCTCTGCCAGAGAACATATCTCTTTTAACTGATCAGTGAGTTACTTGGCCCACTTCAAGCTAATTGTCCTGGAAAGTATCCAATTAACCTAATTTCACCTTCTGAAAGGGCACTGATGTGCTG